TTTGGGAAAAATATATGGCACTTAATCTTGAAATGTACTTAAAGCTTTTTCTTTATAAACTTGATCATAACTCATCCTTTCCATTAACTTATCCTTTCCATGTATTCACAAACATCAGTCTTCTAAAAAATGGATATAAACAATTCGTTATAAATGTAAATATAAATGATAAATAGAAGTGCCATTACGACTTAATATAAGAAACATCTTTACCATCAAAACTAAAATCTTATGTCACATCTCCTTTTCATTGCTAGTAATTTGTTCTAGCAAAGTATGTTTTAAATTTAACCATTCTTGTTTGTCAGATAATGTATGTAAATTCTCACAGATATGCTTGAGTTTCATATTCTTCATTTCATATCAGAGAAACAAGCTTAAAAAATAACCCTTGGTACTGAGAATTACAACAGTGAGATTTCATTTTACTCAGATGAACAGTTTCTCATTGTCATAGCCTATTTTTGAGGATGTCTTCTTTTTATCAAATTATAAAAGAAATTTTATATAATAAAGATTAGAAATCTAATTTCAAAGTTAAAACTAAAGTACTATGAATATTATTATACAATGAGCAATCGTTGTAATTCAAAGTTATAACTTCATACTGGGGGGGCACAGAAAAGTACCCAAAATTTATTTATAAACAATTGTGTATTTATCCTATATGTTAAAACTTTAGTCACCTTCAAAGAACTCTCTGTTTGATGCAACACACTCATCGAGATGCTTTTTCCACTGCTCAAAACAGTTTTTGAGCCCCTCCATTTTGACAACTTTTAGTGCTTCTACTGTTTTTTGTATCACCTCTTCCAAATCGACAAAAATGTTTCCCTTTGAGGACTTTTTTCATCTGGGGAGACAAAAACAAAAAATTCACTTTGGACAAGATCAGGTGAACAGGGAGGGTGGGGCACAGGGATCATGCCAGTATTGATCAAAAACTGCCGGACACTCTACACCCTGTGGGCAGATGTGTTGTCATGGTGGAAGAACCGGTCACCTCTTTGGCACAGCTCAAGATGTTTCTTCCACAAATCATGATGCAACCTTCTCAACACTTCTAGATACAAACTTTGCTTGGCTGTTTGTTTCAGAGGAACAAATCCCAAGTACACTATAAGGGGCTTGCCCTCCAAAAGATAATTCCAGGTATTTTGGGGTCCCCCTCATATATTATATCCACAAACAGTCATAATATAACTCCTTTATTCATATATAAATTATAATACAGAGTACACTTAAGTTTATCAAATACTTGCATTTAGTCATTAACCAATTAAAATGCTAGGTGCTCTGCATCAATTAGACACATTTTAAATAGTGAAAAATAATCTTAGAAGAGTTTCTTTGACAGAGAATTTTTTTTATTTATAGTTAAGATTCAAAGAATACTTTGTTTAATTAATTGCCTTTTATTGTAAAATTTCAACCTAATTTTAATGAGATGGGTTAAAAATTACCGTGGAATTTTGTTTGTATAGAGGTACCGGGTATATGCAAAGTATAATTCATGACATTGGATATCAAACTGTGGTACACTTTATTTAGTACAGCAAAGGGGTATACATTCATGTGTGATAAATATATAATTTCTTATAGTATTGTTAGAGAAAAGATTACTATAGCTTTACCATTTCTTGTCTATTACCATTTCAGCAAAAATATTTTTTTTCTGTATTTTTCTGTATTTATTTCAAGGATATTCTTCTGTAGGAAGTTCGAACTATATTTACAATATCTAATATTTTTTAATGGAATTCTTATCTATGTTTGATATTATGCTTTAATGTTTCTATTGTAATATTCTCACAAATAAAAATAATTTAATACTGTAATGTCAGTCATATTTTTCATAATTCTGTACTATTTAGAAATTTAAGAGACACATAGTTTCAGACTCGAAACACCACTTTTAGTTCTATATTTCTTCAATTCCTGAAATGACATACTAGAAAAATTCTGGTAGACTTTATGCTAATTAAATATAGCTTATTAAACATTGACTAGTTCAGAAACATAAGTGGTGGCATTGCTGTGAAACTTCTAGTCTTTAGTATGTTATTTGAAATAAATATATAGGATAGTTTGCTCACAGGTTGATATAAAGTCTTGCTGTAGAAAGTCATGTTTTTCATTTACTTTCTTTTAATTTTTATTTTAAATGACAATTAAGAATGAAATATGAGATTACATAGGGTACCGATAGCATTTTGCATTACTTTAAAAAGTCTTCCTAACTAGAAAAGATTATCATAGAAGAGTTTCTTAAAGTAGGAAAACCCCATTGAACCAAGATATAGAACCTGGAAGCCATAACTGAAAATGTCAGCACATAAAATTAACATATATGTCCCAAAATGCCATTGAGTAAAAAAGATGAACCAAAATATTTGCAAAACACATAATAAACACAGGAACTAAATTTCATAGTACATAAAAATCATTTAAAACAGTAAGAAAAGACTGATAGCCTAATAGAAAAAAATGGACAAGTAACTTTGATAATTAACTCTCAGAAAAATAATGAGCTTTGTGTGTGTGTGTGTTGGAGTCTTACTCTGTCACCCAGACTGGAGTGCAGTGGCCGCTCCCGGCCACTGCAGCCTCAACCTGCTGGGCTCCGGCGATCCTTTCACCTCTGCCTTCAAAGTAGCTAGAACTACAGGCACGTGCTACCACGCCCAGCTAATTTTTTGATTTATTATGGAGATGAGGTCTCACCAAGTTGCCCAGGCAGGTCTCGAACCCGCGGGCTCAGGCGATCCACTCACCTCAGCCTCCCAAAGAGTGGGATTACAGGCTGAGCCACTGAGCCCGGCTATAAAGAACTTTTTAACACAGAAAAAGATGCCCAATTTCACTCAGAATTTAAAAATGCATATTAAAACTGTAGTAAAATTTCAATTTTAACTTATCAGATTGACAGTTCCACGTGGTGTTTTAAGATAGTGTCTGTGATAGCAATAAACAAGAAATAATCATATTTCCAATGATAGTCTGGATAAGCAAATTATGTTACATTTATAAAATGGATTCAGCTACTTTTAAAGTTATGATAGTGATTACTTTTGGGATAGGGACTGAGGGATTGTGAGCTTTTTGTACAAAATGACTTAATTTTTATTTTTTATTCTTTACATTGTTTGATTTATCTCTACTATGTTCATGGATTTTTTTAAACATATAAAACAAGTTTAAAGCAACAAAATTCTTAGTCAAGTCAGTAAAACATCTCAGTAAATACAGCTTGAACGTCTCCTTTGTACTAAAAAATTCTTGAGCATGCTGGGGATAGAAAGCTAGATGAAATAATGTGCCTACTCTTCTCAAAAACCAACAAATGAGGACCATTTGTAAATAGGATAAAGCTCAGTATAGCAGATACTGTTTTAGAGATAGGTCCAGGAAGGATGTGTATCTCTTTATAGACTCAGAGTAATTCATATGGTATAAGTTAATTGATCTTCAGAAAAATTTATGGAATAAATAGTGCACTATGTGTCCAGAGAAAAATAATAGGTAAGCACAACTCCTGTATTTACTCATTTAGCACTCACATCTATCCTGGAAAGTGGGTACTGTTATCATCCCCATTTTATAGAGGACATAGCAAACTTTTAAATCCCTTAAGATACTTAAGAACTTCAGGATCCTCACTCTTAATAGAACCATGCTTCTTAAATTTTATTCGGTAATCTGAGTCATTTCCACTTTTCTAATGAAAGGCGTAATATTCAGATGTTAACTATTTTACTGCTAGTATTTTCGTGCCACACTGCCTCTAGTTAATGAGAGTGCTTCAAGGAGAGAGAACCGTTTTGATAGCCCTCCCTCCTATAAGTACTAATGGCAAATCACAGAATATGTGGTTTCTCTAAGAAATATGGCAGTGAAAAGAACTTACTTCCTTTTTGTGAAAATATTTCCTCTAATCAAGTAGTATCAAATAAGTTGTTTTGTTCAATAACTTTGATATGATTTCTTAAGAAATTTTCAAGATTACTGCAGTTTAAAAAAATGATATTCATTTAAAGCTTGCTTATGCTTTGTGAAAAGACTCTGTCAGCAATCCAGCATGAGGCTGTGCTAACAAAATTCCAACTTTTCTGTGGGATGATCCAAAAACAGCAAACAGAAGGCATTAAATTTCTTAACAGTCACAAGTGTGTACATGCATGCTATGCCATTCCTGTCATTAGTTGCTTTTTGGTGTGCATAACTTAGAGTTAGAACTCTTTGATTTGCAGACTAATATGTTCCATAGAGAATATTTTAAATATATATAAAAAAAATGCAGAATAGCTTCAGAGCATGTGAGGTCCGAGCACTACATTTATACAGCTTTTACTGAATATATGTTTAATCAGATTTTAGGACATTGGCTTTGACAGTGTACTTTCATGTGTCAAAGACATTTGCTGGATTAAGATCCTGAATTGTTTCTCTTGCTCTGTTCAGAGGCAGGTTTACACAAGTACTCTGATCTGAAACAGAGAATATGAAGTATATATAATGATTGTTAAATCCAGAGGAGGTATAGCTAGTGGGTTAAGCAAAATTTAATCTTGACTCTTCCATCCTGTCTCCATCTTAGTAGCCTCAGTGACAAATTCAAAAGCCAATACCAGAATTATTTGAAGACTCGCTTAAATCCTGTCTCAGTCTTAGTAGCCTTAGTGACAAACTCAAAAGCCAATACCAGAATTGTTTAAAGACTTGCTTAAAAAGTAAATACCTGAGGTAAAGAAATGAATGTGTGCAGAAATAAAGGGTCATTTTGTTTGCCTGGAGCTCCCCTGAGCCATCTCCACTTTCATGCCATTTCGCTAAAATATCATAGAGCACGGTATGTGGTAACATGGCATTTAGTGATGGACTGTATTTTGCTTAATATATCATTTTCACCTATTTAGTAGAATGGCAGTGAGTGGAAAATAGATGTACGTGAGAGCACATAACATATATTTAAAATTTCCTTTTTTCTTTTCAATTTACAGCAAACTCAGTAAAGCTAGAAATGCAGAGTGATGAAGAGTGTGACAGGAAACCCCTGAGCCGCGAAGATGAGATCAGGGGCCATGATGAGGGTAGCAGCCTAGAAGAACCCCTAATTGATAGCAGCGAGGTGGCTGACAACAGGAAAGTCCAGGAGCTTCAAGGCGAGGGAGGAATCCGGCTTCCGAATGGTAAACTGAAATGTGACGTCTGTGGCATGGTTTGCATTGGGCCCAATGTGCTTATGGTACATAAAAGGAGTCACACTGGTAAGCAGCTGAAAGAATGACCTGATGACTGCCTGTGACGTCTGATGTTGATATTACCTGACATCTATTCTTTTTCCTTTTTATTCAGGGGTGGCAATGGTGAAACTACCTTTTCAGAATTCTGCTAGTATTGGATTGCAGAAACACAGAGAGTAGCCTGGGTCTTGACCTCCAGCCTTCAAATCTGAATAGCTTATCAGAAAAGAAGTTTGGCATTCAGTTTCCACAGTTGTTATTATAGCCATAGTATGATAAGGGTACACAAGGTATAGGAGAATTTCATTGTGTAACATAATCTTTTTGTATTTCTCTACTTATTTTACCACACCCATGGGCAGGTAATATAGTTTGCTAGCTAAGAGTTTAAACTACCAAATGGCACTCATGCATTTATATAGGGATGAATCATTTTCATTTTATACAATTAACTCCTTGGAATACAATTTCTAGACAATTCTTTGCCTTTCATAGGTCATGGTAGTAGGTAGGTACTTTCTGCAATTCAGGGATGTTATAGTCTTCTTGTAATTTTTGGTTATAACTTCTGCAGGATGATATTTAAGGTTGAATATGGCAAAGGGCGGTGAGTGTACAGGTATGTGTAATATGGAATAGGATGAGGAAGACACCTCCAGATTAATTTAATGTATAATTTTAGACATTTGAGAGGTGAAAAGCCTTTCATGAAAACCAACCAAATGAGGAGAAGGCCTTATTTAAATCATTTGCCAAAATGTTTTTAAAAATTAACAGACATGAAATTCTGATAAGATAGGAAGATTGTTGACTTTTTAAAAAAAAGTTTCAAATTCATATAAAAATTGGCTTAAGGGTAATGGTAGCTTTCAGTATAATGCAAAGTGGTAGTATATGTTAAAATATTAACAACTAATATTCTCAGAGTTTTAAAATATTATATTCTTTTGGAAGAGAGATAAATCACAATAAAGAAATTTATTTAAAAGTTTTATTTCTAAATAATCAATTTACTAATTAGGGCTTAAAACGTGAAAGATACATGGGACATCAAAGTCTACTCTCACTTTATCCATGAAGAAACAATCAAGTAATTTGTCCCCTGTCCTTTGAGTAGGTAGAGGCATTTGTGATACTAGAACCTTTTCTGATGCTCATATTGGTTTTGTTCAAACACACGATCGCTTGGTATATCAATATGCGATCAATTTATTATGAGGCGTGACTCTAAAATAAAACTGATATTTTAAAAATTACAGTGAGAAGTTACACATTAATATTTATGGTATCTAATCAAAATAAGCAGCTTTAGAATATATACATTTATTCCAACCATATAGTTGCATTTTTGCTTTTTAATTTATTTTTCTTTTTAACAGCACCATTGTTTAAACATATTTATGTTACTAGATAATTTTTTTAATTTTTAAAAAATGTCTTGGAAAAGTTTTAAAGATCAAATTTGGCATCTATTTGGTAGAAAGAAAAGGGAAAAGATTACAAAATAATCTTTTCGTCTATGCTCATGAAATCATGAAGCCAGGCTCGGTGGCTCAGCCTGTAGTCCCAGAGCTTTGGGAGGCTGAAGTAAGTGGATTGCCTGAGCTCGCGAGTTTGAGACCCTCCTGGGCAACTTGGCGAGACCTCATCTCTACAATAAGTCAAAAATTAGCTGGGCGTAGTAGCGTGTGACTTTAGTTCCAGCTACTTGGAAGGCTGAGGCAGAAGGATCGCCAGAGCCCAGCAGGTCGAGGCTGCAGTGGCTGGGAGCGGCCACTGTACTCCAGTCTGGGGGACAGAGTGAGACTCCTACTCAAAAAAAAAAAAAAAAAGAAATCATGAAATAGTTCTAACTACAGTTCTAAAGAAACAAGTTCCACAAAGCTATAATAATATACTTATTATGTCAGAGGGATTATATTAAGATAGATAGCATGCATTAAAATGTGTCACTCCTTCTATCTAGTAAAATACAAACCAAACAAAATCAGTCTAATGGCTTTCAGTTTAATTGCATGCAGTATTAACTTTAAGGCTGAAAATATACTATACATAATTTTTGAAAGATTTTTAAATAAACTTTTTATGTTCTTAATTAAGAAAATTTAAAGAACCAGAGTATGTGTTCTAGAAAACTTAGGTTAATCAATACTTCACTGTACCTACAGTGATATTTATGAGGCATGTTCGTTTGGAAGTATAATAGTAATTGCAAACCTACTCTACTGTCCATTTGATATTTACTACTGTGGTAGAGTTGAATTATTTTAATTCAGAAAATAGTCAAATTGACATGAAAAATGTTTATAGGCAGTTATACAGGTTTCCACAAGTCCTAGGAATATGAGACTCACTCAGCTAGTAAAGGCAAATAGTATGTTGAAGTGTACTTGTAACACCATGAACTTTTTTTGTTCATAAATGTTTATTGGAATATCATGCAAATTATTACACTCTCTTTAGATCTGGGAGATTTTTGTTAAAGTTAATAGTCATTCATAGAGGAGCTTGGGATAACTGCCATGCTTTGTTGACTTTGCAATAGTGGATATATCTTTATGCTAGCTATCTTAATATGTATTTCTGGTAACTCAGTTTATAGATCTGAGTGAGTGTGGACATTTTCAACTTTGCTTTCTTACTGTTTGAGAATAGAAGGTCTATTTGCATTTCTTCAATTTAAACGTGATTAAGAAAAATATAGTCAGAATCTAATCATTAACCAAATGTTTTCTTAATACCATAGACCACTGTCTTCATTTTAAAACTTCCCACTCGTAACCAATTATTTATAGCTTCTATAAAAGGCACTGTTTAAATCCTTATAAAGCCTTTAGGAAACTTTTTGACTGTTTTTACTCAAAGAATACCTAATATAAAATTGATAGTGAAAAAAGATGCACAACCATCCAATTCATTATGACATGGAGGATCAGATCTAATTCATTTCTTCTTGTCTCTCTCATATTCTACTAAAGTGCTAATTCCAGTGTCTTTGTGTTATTTCTTTGGTATTGCTACTTTAGTTAAGTAATCAGGTAATATTGTCATCGGATACTCCAGGCACTCTTCACTGGGAATATGGGGAGTGGTAAACATGTAGGGATAGTAAATCAATACTTGCATGAACACAATTCGATGGGAACATTATAAATATAGAATATACTTCATTTTCCCTCTTCTTGGGGTAGAGTATTCCCATCTTTGTAACTAAGTTTTCAACACCATATTTTGACATTGCAGCTTTGTGGAGCTATTCTCTTGCTCTAGGACCCTGCAACAGGTGCTTGGGACTTGCATATTTATAAAGTAGTCTCTGTCTTTGATTGTCCAAAGCAAATTGATGCATGTATATTTGCATTTCAATTGACTATTTAAACACATCCAGAAATATATGTTTATGAAAGTGCATAAAAATTGAAATAGAATTTATTTCATTCATAAAAGTAATATATAATCTCATGCAGTTAATAACTGAAAATAGACTAGTAGTTTGGTAGCCTGAGTTTAAAAATAAAAAAGTAAAACAACAGATTAAGAATGAGCATGAAGTATACCTGATCATATCTTAATTGTTCTCCTGGATTGAGATTTGATAGTCTAGACTTTTTTGCCCACCAATAGGAAGATTAACTAACTGTTAGAGATATCACAAGCTACTTAATTTTTTTTGACTTGGATTACTCTGTAAGATCATTAATGTAGTTAATAAATTTGTGGAGTTTTGTTAAAATGTGCTGTGATTCACATGTGTGGAACATGATTGATCATTTTTTCAGACAAAGCTTAAACTGACTCAGAAAGGACTAACTGACTCAGTTCATTTAAAGAACAAACACACCATTAAAAAGAAATAATTGAATATGCTGTTTAAAGTTGTATTGACATTATAGAGTTTTTTGTCTATGTACCATTTGCATAGATAAAAAGTGGCTAACTGAGCCTTTTACTTAACTTATCAGATAATTTTATATGTACCTCTGTAATGCCTAGCCCAGGGAATATTCTACAATATTGAACAAAACTGTTACTGACGTTTTACAGAAATGTCTTTATCAAAAATTGAGTTACTTCACTTTTTTGCTGTTAAACAGATATGGGTATGACTCCTGTATCTAGATAATTCCTAGAGTATAACTATGTAGACTAACAAAAAATTCTCCAAAGTTACCCTCTGTTTTTATCCTTGTTTCCAACAGTAGTGTTGTTGAGGGTTTCACTATAATTTCAACTAACTTCAGTTAGTGTGAGCAAAGTAAAACAACTGGATTGTTGAAATAATAATTATCATTTAATATAATGAAAACATTAAGAGAAGTGAGGCAAATTTCAACCTAAAATGAGGAAAGCCATAAAATTAGCATCCAAAAGTAAAAAGTATCTATCAATATTTATTCATAATTCAAGTCAATATTTCTCAACGCCTTATGTGCTTAATCAAAGTACATTATTATCAGTGCCGTTTTTCTGTTATCAAAGAAAAGCATGACTGATTATCTTCATCGTGTCTTGTTCTTTACTTCCCCTGACCATGGGAACTTACCAAAGGTCTCCATACTATGACCTGAACACTCAGCAGCAGGGCACTATTTCCAAATCTACCTGCACTAACTTTTGTTTCTTCTCCTCCACTGGAGGATGATCGTATAAATTCAGAAGCAGTTTATTATTTTAAAAATTTGAAGCTATCTGAAATATTTTGTAAATGTTAAAGCTAAATCATTCATTAGTCTCATCAAACTCAACTAGGTAAATTCAAAAATTCTTTTTAAAAAGGTTTGTCCTTATTATTGTTTCTTTTTTAGATTAGCATTATTTTGAATAATGAAGTAACTAATCTAAATTAGAGATTTTTAAATATTTCAACTCAAAGATTGCAAGAAGTTTAAAGAAAATCTAAGTCAGCATGTGATGGAAGTATTTTTCAAAAGGCAAACACATTTTCAATGTTTTTTGTTCACTACACTCACTAATTTAATTCTTTTTTAAAGTTATTGAGTATTAATTTGTTACTTCCCTGAGAAACCTTACATAGAGTGATTTTAAAATAAAACCACAAATTTTTAGTGAAAAATATTATTTGTATTCATGATTTCTCTTTTTCTTTAAAAAGTTAACTCGTGAAAGATGTACCTCCATCTTTCCTTTATTACGATGTAATTCCATGGCAGGAGAAGGGAGTAGAAAATTCTGATTTTTAAAGTTGTAGACTGTTATTCCATTAGGAAAAAAAAAAATCAAAGAACCAAGTTATGCTGTATATATGTGTGTAAAATAAAAAAGACCTGCCAATATTAGATTTATTAAAAGCTTTGACTATTCTGGAAGACTTTATATGAGGGGTTTTAGGTTTTACCAAATGAATCAAACTATAGTTAAATAAGATGGAATTTTAGGGAACTTTAACATGGTGGGTAACTGTTTTCACCCCAGTATATCAGTATAGGACCTCTTATAAATGTAGCTCCAGATTTCATAAGAAAAAATTTTAACTACCAGGAGACTCACAGATTATACTTTTTTGGTACATACCTCTATAAGTTCTAAAAAGAGGACTGCAGAATTTGAGATACACTTGATCTATCATTTTTTAAATTTCTCTAGGTTTTATAACAAATCTATATGAGAGAATCTGCAGTAACTGCCTCCAGAAAGTTACCACAGTTTATCTTCTTTATACTTCCTAGCTTTCTTTGATAAAAGAATCATAGAGCTTGCATTATATCAAGGGACCAAAAAAATGTATTGAACTTTTATTATTTATTATTGTTGTGAATGTTTCAGTTAAAGATATATGAAATATTATAATTCAATGTAATTTTTTTGAAAAACTATTAATATTCTAGTCATCTAACCTCAAGTACAGAAATTTTCAGTTCAACCAAAAAGGAACTGTTTTTAATTTTTTTTAATTCCAAACTTTAGGCAACCCCCTCGGGTCCCCTCCCACTGTGGGAGCTTTTCTGTCCTTTTTTTTTTTTTTTTGAGTTGGAGTCTCACTCTGTTGCCCAGACTGGAGTGCAGTGGTGGCTCCCGGCCACCGCAGCCTCGACCTGCTGGGCTCCGGCGATCCTTCCGCCTCAGCCTTCCGAGTAGCCGGAATTACAGGCATGCGCTACCACGCCCGGCTGATTTTTTGATTTATTGAAGAGATAAGGTCTCTCTGCCCAGGCGGGTCTCGAACCCGCGGGCTCAGGCAATCCACTCACCTCAGCCTCCCAAAGGCGCGGGATTACAGGCTGAGCCACCAAGCCCGGCTTTTTCTGTCCTTTTAATAAATCTTGCTTTCTCACCAAAAAAAAACCCAAGAAACAAAAAACAAATCTAAACTTTGAGCTTCAGTATGACATATTTTTACTATTTACATATTAATTTATATTTTATTTCATCTGTTTGTCTTTAAAGATAGACCAACTTCATGTAATACTATTTTCTTCATGCTTTGATAATGTTATCAATTTGGCCCTGCTTCTAATTTTACTACTTCATTACCTACATGTTTTTATGTCTGATGACATGGGTGACAGCCAGTTGATGGCAACAGACTGAACCAGTAACTGAGACCTAAGCAATTTTATAGCAACTTCAGTAATAGAGAGCAAGGGGAAAGGATTCTCCAAACAAATGATTTTCACAGAGTAAAGAGAATATACTGGAAATGTCTGACTGAGTATTTTTCTTTGTATTTACCTTGGTTACTATTAGTGACCAGCAGAACCACGAGACCTGACATATATATGAAGATCATGTTGTAATGAGCTTTGTAAGCTGGTTCATGCACTGTAGCTCTTTGGCCCCCTTTTCCTTATCAGCTGAAAGACAGAGTTAGACTAAAGGTCCCTTTCAATTCAAAGTTACTGTGAATTTTAAGGACATAACATGGTAAACAAATAGAACAAGATTTTGTAGTCACACTGACGGGGTTCAAATCTGTGACTATAATCAAATACTTTGATATGTGAACTTTAATTTCTTCATTTGTAAATTGAAAGTAAAATACCTAACTATTAATGTCATTGTAAGCATTGAAGTATTGTATGCAGAGCCACCATTAAAGCAGTAAAGTGATAGATGGCACCTAGTCGTTCAACCAGTGGTCAGTGCTATTCTTCTTATCCTCTTGATTTGATGACAGGAATCTTCTCAAATTTATTTGAAGTGGGGGAAATGGCCACTTGACCGGAAGCTTGAGACTTTGGTATTAGCAAAGCAAATTCTAGGGAGATGATTGTTGAGAAGACCGGAGATGAACATTCTTAGCGTAGAGAATTGGCTCTGCTTAACAGTGGATGGCAAATTAGTCACTTGCACACAACCTACTTGATGTCCTCCTTTCTGCAGGTGAACGCCCCTTTCACTGTAACCAGTGTGGAGCTTCTTTTACTCAGAAGGGCAACCTTCTTAGACACATAAAGCTACACTCTGGAGAGAAGCCGTTCAAATGTCCTTTCTGTAGCTATGCCTGTAGAAGAAGGGACGCCCTCACAGGACACCTCAGGACTCACTCTGGTAAGTGCACTGTTTGAGAAAAAAGCTAAAATATCAAAATTTAGAAGAGTACTGTAGAATAATACTAAGTAACTTCTAGTTTTGATATATAACTAGAAATGACCAAGATAATGTTTTTGTTGGTGTGCTGTTATACAAATTTCCATGATTTTTAAATTTTATAATTACTAGTACAGTAATTGTAGTTAATTCAGGATAATTGAAAATCCAGTGAAATATGGTTATATGCTGAAGTTACAAAAGAGGAGATGAAAACTTTGATTTTTTTTTTTTTTGACTGATCAGTACTCAGGCTGGGACCTCAGTGTGAAATTAAATATTGTTATTTTTAAATTTGAAAATATTATGCTCATTAGAAAATTGTTAGAATATTATATATTCAATTTCAACTCTCCTTGTATTTTTATCTGTCAAACTATAGTCATTGGCTGGCTATCTGAAATTTTTCTCTGTTTCATAAATCATTAAAAATTCCAGAATAAGTTTGATTTTTTAAGTGCCAAAATATAGTACATAAAAGAGGAAGAATAAGTTTGATTTTTTAAGTGCCAAAATATAGTACATAAAAGAGGAAGAATGGGCCTGGCTTAGTGGCTCAGCCTATAATCCCAGCACTTTGGGAGGCCGAGGCGAGTGGACTGAGTCCATGAGTTCGAGACCAGCCCAGGCAGCTTGACGAGACCTTGTCTCCGCAATAAATAATAATAAAAAAAATATAGCCGAGTGTGGTACTGTGTGCCTGTAGATCTAGCTACTTTGAAGGCTGAGGCAGAAGGATCTCCTGAGCCCAGCAGGTCAACACTGGGTTGGCCGTGAACATGTGTGCCACTGCAGTCCAGCCTGGGAAACAGAGTGAGACTCCAGCTCAAAAAAAAAAAAAAAAAAGAGGAAGAATGATCAGAAATCTGAATGAAACTTATCTGACTTTTAGCATGAATTGTCATAACCAAGAAGTAAATGGTGGAAAATTAATGTAAAATATTCTCAAGCAAGTTTTATTTGCTCTTTCTGTCCTTATGCCATACTAAAGTTTAATTTTAATATGAAGATATGATGAAAGTGATATTTCATCTTCATTGACAGACTGTATTAGAGAGTGCTGAGGTTGTACAGTAATGCTTGTTATATTATATTTCTTTAAATTTTCCCTATTAATCCTTAAGGTTGTACTTAGTTTTTTAAGTAAGACTTAAAAAATGAATGTTTTAAGTAAGACTATCTTAAACTTATTAACTTGTAAAATTTTGGCAGTTATAAAAATGAAATGTATGCAAACATTAAAACAAAATATTTTAAGCAGGTAGTTTTCTTTCTACTCTGACGTAAAGTAATTTACTTATTCCAACTACAACATTTTGTTTTGTTTTAAATTATGCTTGACAATTAGATCTTAAAAGTGATATCATTTTATTATGAAAAGTATTACCTACTGAAAAATATTTTTAAGACATGGTAGATATTTCCTTTAGCTAGCCATGTACTCTGCCTTCTTAAAGTATTATTGAGTTATCCAGTGATTATATTGCCATAGATTTCATGAACGTATATTTTTTGCCTCAATACGATAGAGAACTTTAAACATCTATTTCATTCTTTTCAAAATTTTGTTGCTTTTAATATTACGGTTTTGTACATGCATACTATTTATTTATCTTCATAAATAAAGACATGGCCCTTACAACTGCTGTTGTTATGATTTTACATTTTAGTATATAGCAAGTCATGAATTTTGCAGATATATAAACAGAGAACATACTCGAATTGGGTAATTAAAGAGAGTTTAATGGAGGGAAGGGATAGCCAGCTATTGCATCATCAAGATGTGATATCAATTTAGTCATACTTCCAACTGGAATTTAAAGCACTAGCTATCACCAGTGCTCTTTATAATAGGTAGAACATAAAACAGAGTTGCTAAATTCTATGCTTTTCTAATTGGTCAGAAAGCTGAAAATTGATAATTATAGCTTTGTTTTTCCTCTCAATTTTATCTTTCTCTTCCTCTTGCCTTCTCTTTAGTTTCTAGGCTAGACAAAATTCTTTGTCTGATAGGTGAACCAAGCTTTAATTTCTATGTTTCAAGTCTTTGCTGGTCCTTTCTTAGATTACTATAGTTTTTCAATAACCAAATTTATTGGGCAAGTATTTTTAAGGAGAAACCCCAGTGAATCCTCTGAGTTCCAAATACAATTCTCCTTGCCCCCATTGTATGGCAACCATTCATCATCTTGGTAATCTGGAAATATTCCAAGTCAGTTCCTGTTAGTTCAGCGGCTTGAAACATCCAAAATAGCCAGTGAGTATTAACAGCTTCTAATACAACAGGACCAGGACTTGGAACTCTGGTGAAAACATTCTTCTATTGGGAACTGAGATCTGTAAAACCACCAATCTGAAGGTTTCAGAACAGTGAGTAAAAGTTCTTTAAATGAGTTATCTGATGGATTAGAGTGGCCACTTCTACCTTAACCTCTTTGTTCTCAGACTCATACGTTCTGACTATGGAGGAGATGACTTTGGCCATATATCATATCTTGTAGAGTACACTCAAACTTCTCCCAAATGGAAATCATACATGACCCACTCCACTGGTAGGCCATTTAATTACTTCAATTAGCCAACTGATTCTGGATGTTAGGGCATAGGATATGACCAATGAATTTTACAGATTTGAGCCAATTGTATTTTATTTGCCATTAAAATGAGCTTTCTGGTTGAAGGCAATGTTACAAGGAACGCCATGGTGGTTGGAAATGCATTCTAATCCATCTGTATTCATAAGAATATTGAAGGAGAAGGGAGGGCACATTCATATCCTGAAAATCTATCAATTCCTATGAGGATAAATTTCTGCCTCCTTCATTCAACCTGCCACTGAATGATCGGTTGACCTCCCTGGGTAAGGTGCCATATCAAGGTCTCAGCACTGGAAAATTGTGAGCTCAGCAGTGATGGTGGTAGGTGAATCAATCATGGAGAGAAGGGATTCCATATTATTGAATCCATAACAGTTTATTCCTGCTACCATTATCGCTTTCTAAATTGCCCCACTGAGCCAGTACCAGGTTAGCAAAGTGAAGAATCTAACTGACATCTATAAGGGAGACTACCTTGTTCAGATTACTAACAACCTTATCTACAGTAAATGTTCATACAGGGAATTCAAATAGGGCACCTTATCATCACATTTTGTATCAATTCTGATACATCCACATAACTCTCCCCTAGACCTTCTGTCACCAGTCTTCCAATTTTATTCCTTGAAATCGTTGACCATATGGTCATGCCATGTATTATTACCTTGGCTATCTCTTCTTCCATGCAAAGTGTAGAGTCAAATGTACTAGCTGATATTCTGTCTACTGAAGGGATAACCTTTCACCACGGTATCCCAGAGCTTGCCCCCTTAAATGGACCTTTATTATTCATAGCTGGTACCAAATACCACATAATCCATTTATAAATTAGACCCACAGTGTTTCATCTTTCATTCATTGGTCATTGAAAACACTCCTTGAGGCCACAGAGAACAGATTGCAAAATAGTAGCATGTATCAGGGACACTTGAGCTACTTGCTCATGCAGTATACTTGGGCTTCTTCTTCAACCTGCTTGGTCCCAGTTTCATTTAACAATAAAATGCTGTTGTCCACACCTTATTTTATGGTATGTTGAATCAGATAACACCTAGTTCATGATGGAAAGTTTGGGCCACACAGTCGTTTAGAGTCTCATGGCCCAGAACTCAGTCTTAACCAGAGTTCAATAGCACATTAGGGGCTGCTTTTCAAATGGGGAATAGTTACTGGTAGAAGATTGCATATCTTTACTACAAAACCTTTAGAGATCTGCATACTAAAGTTTCCATTGACAGAGATGTTATACAGCATCTCTGTTTGCCACAGACATTTCCAAAAACTATTGTTATCAGCTGAATATACCCAAGGGTATAGGACAACTTTCAGCATGGCAGAGGTATGCTGCAGATCCTTTTTTTGCCCTAGGTTTCTCTCACTACAGACAGCCTTGTGGATTACCTAGTGCATGCATCTGAGCAGCACCCCCAAATGTCTATGTTGCTTCTAAGTCTTAAGAGGCTACCACGTTTTGTGCCTCATTCTCCATGAGGTTCAGGATACACCAATTTATAATTTACTATAGAGGATCTAGTTTGGCATGCCTAGACTACTAGGCCCGTAAAATTTTACCAAGTTTGAAAATTCCAGATCATTCTTGGAGTTTATCTCCTATTCTCTAGCATTTATCCTACTGAGGCTCTTGGGTATTTTGTTACTTCCTGCTCACTAAGTCTGATCAATGTGATGTCATGAATGTAATATTTTAGCTTGATGTTCTATGGGGTGTCAAGATGAACGAGATTTATCCAGACTCTATTGTGACAAAGAGAGGAGTTGGCCAACAGGTATATGAGAAAATGCAGATGTTCAACATCACTAATCACCAGGGAAATGCAAATCAAAACCACGTTATATCACTTCATGTCTGTTAGGATGGTTAAGATGAGATAGGGAAAGTATGCTGTCCCTGCAATGTAAAAGGAAACAACTTCTGATTATCTTTGTTGTTAGGAATTACTTTTTAAAAAGTCCCATCAGTAACTCCATACCTGGTGCTAGAGGCTGTGAAAATATGCTCCAGTAAAGACTCTACAACTAAAACTTCATCTGCAGTTGACATTATGATATGGTTAAGTCTGCATTTATCCTTAGGACCACTAACAATTTAAATGGGTTTAGAGTATGAATTATCACCCCAATATACTTCAGCTTTCTGATGGTTTCACTAATATCTGTAATTCACCAAGATATTTATTAATTCTTTTAGTTGCTATCTTGGGAGAGATGATAGTTATAGGACAATTCTGTCCAATATGGTGGCCACTAGTCACATGTAGCAATTAAACACCTAAGTATGGCTAGTGCCACTTACTGAAATAATATTTTATTCATTTACTTATTGAAATTAGGTCTGTCTATATT